TCTGAATAAAACTTCTTCTGCTAAAGTCGATCACTAGCCAGTATGTTGTATCCATACCAACTTGCGTCTTAATTGGGCATTATGTAGAGAACGGGAAAGGTGTGGATTCAAGCCCATGTTGGGACTATAGTCTCGTAGTATAGACTGACTCCTCCAATGCAGTACTCGGAATGTGCTGCTTTGTTGGACTTGCAGCCTTTTGGATGAGACATTATACTAAGATCCTGTCTGCCTGTTCAATTGAATGCTAAAGATCCACGGCACTATTCAGGGAATCTTGGCTGCCAGTCTCCCAAATAAAGTTGGTCATTCACTTCACTGTGATTTGCTGATTGTGAGGTATTGCTCTGTGTCAAAGGACTGTCACAATCGCCTACAAAATACAGTTACTACACTTCATAATAACATCCTAAGAAGCACTTTGAGATGATATGATGGTAAAATGCTATGAGAACTGCGTAATTAACTTATACTGGTGAGAGATTGTAAAGATGTGAGACCCATTTCAGGATTCAAGTAATGTTTGGCACAAAATCACTCAAATCTACATTATTGAGTTTGTGATTAGATGGTGGCTTTGTCACAGGTTCCTTGGTGGCAGTTCTCCATTTAGTTAGACTCGTCTGTGGGCTCATAATACAATATAGCTAGGCAGAAGCCTGCATCCAAGACACTCCAGCCCTCCTAGCTGAAGGACAATATCATTGAAGTAAAATATGGATGTAAATACAATAGTCAGAGTAGACTTTGGTGGTGATATGGAGTACTCACTCGTTGGTCTGGGCCTAATAATAATAATAATCCTTGCATTTGATATAGCGCTTTTCACGTCTTCTAGACGTCCCAAAGCGCTTCACAGAATCACGGTGCAATACAAATGAAACCGCTCTTTACGTATTCCAAATGCATGAGCAGCCCAAGGTTCACTTCGGTATCTAAAGAACTTTAAAAGTGAAATCATAAAAATATTTCTTCCCACAAAGGAATGAGAGTGGAATGCGCTGCCACAAAGTGCGTCAATGCAGAATTAATTGGGATGTTTTAAAAGAAGATGGATAGATTTGTGGGAAGTAAGGTTGTTTAAGTGTATAGATAAAAGACAGGGAATTGGGATTAAAAGATCTGCAATGATCTAATACAATGTCAAACAGTCTGAACAGGCCAAATGGCTGACACCTGTTCCTGTTGTGCTTTCACCCAGTATTATTTTTCTAAGACCATGAGCAAAGCACAGGAGCAGAACATTTGGACTCATTCTTTGATTTAGGACTTATGGTAGCATTTTCAGTATTAAATACAGCAAATTGATCTGCCATAGTTTAGCTTGCGACACAGAAATCAAATCTGAGAAATAGTTTCTGTCAAACGTGAGGCTTATATCTTCCCAAGCTGTTGCAGGACATTCATGATATGGAAAAGCAGAAACTATTTTGACCGCAGCACACCGGTTTATAATGCTGGAAGCACTGCATTCTTGATGCAGTATCAAGTTAATAGCAAACTGAAGCATTAAAAAAAACACCTGGGGAGGATTCACATTCATTCTCAAAACACATAACTCAGGAGATGTACAGCGTCAGGCCTGATCAGGAAGGAAGAATTTACCAAATTGAGACAGTGTGATTTATGAAACACAATCATCTTAGTTTGGACAGGTTACCAATAAATAGTGACATCTGTTTATTGCAATGCAAATTAATTCAGTGAGATTCAACGTTACCTGAAATTGAAATCTATTATTTATGGTAAATGTTGCAAGACATTTACATTCCAAAGCAACTGACCTAAACATTACTCAAGGCTCATGCTGAAGGCTGGAGAAGGCTTTCCACACCCCTGCTGCTTCCCACCACTCCCCTGCATTTATCAATTGCCCGTACCTTTACATGGCCTATAGTATAGGTAAAACCACTCTTTTTAGTTTCTGGTCCCAAGCTGATAAAATACAATAAAATTTTACATTCATAATAATAATAATCCTTGCATTTGATATAGCGCTTTTCACGTCGGGAGGACGTCCCAAAGCGCTTCACAGAACACACTGTTAAGTGAATTGACTGTATATTTGTGGGCGAACGCGGCAGCCAATTGCACACAGCAATGTCCCACAAACAGTCGTAGATTGAAAATGGCTAATTTAATTATTGTTTTTGTTTTTTGGAGGGATTATTATTAGGCGTGTGGAGTAAGGAAACTTGCCCAAGGTTTCACCCTACCTGGAATTGAACTCGGATCTCTCACTTGCAAAGCGAGTGCTCTAACCACTGAGCTACAGGACTCCACATTCATATAGTGCCATTCACGTTATGAGGACATCCCAAAGTGTGTTGTGGATTCTGGTAGAGAATTATTGCCTTTTTCGCTTTTTTGCTACATAATATTAATGAACGAGAAGGGAAGTTTTATCTTCCTTTAGGTCCTAGTATCCTTAAGTTCCTCAGCCAATTTTCAGTGGCTATTAATACTGTACAATCCTGGGTTTTGGATGTCGACAGCCAATACAACCATTCGTACCAGCACCAAGGCACTGAGGCCAATCTTTCCATTCACACGACCACCCTGGCTGGACTGGTTCATTTATCTCAGCACACACCAGGGAACACAGAAGGGAGTTATCAAATCATATAAATTCAGTGTAGGCAGTGATTTCTTTAGCTGCAATGCATCCCAGTGATCAATGATATTGTTATCTTCTTGTTTGTTGTGTAAGTATCTAAACAGTGGTTGTCTCCACTTTAGATTTAGTGGACTATACTGGCTTCTACAGGCTACTGTTATGAAAGCATGTGGTTTAAAGAGCAAATTCTTTCTGTGCACAGTTTTGGATTACTGTTTGTGGTGAAGATGGGAACTGTTGATAGGAAGTTTCTTTTTTCATCCTCTTTAATTTGTCTTCCCTTAGTGAGGAATTTGACTTGACTTCTCCACAGGTAGAGTTATATAGGTATTGCCTGCCTCTGATGCTTGACTATGTTTCTATTATCCACATTTGAGCCTGAACTCAAGGTTTTGGAGACTGTTCAACAAGGCCAAAACCATTATCACCCTGACCTCCACATATGTACCTCAAGCAAGGATGGTGGGGCCCAGACTATTGTTTCCCCCCCAGTCTTGTGTTATGAAGCCAATTGCAAGGCCCCAACAGCTACCTTAGCTGAGATACCTCAGCATAGATTTGGGATTAAAATCTATAATCACCCAAGTCTGTAATAGCTCAGTTACTTACTAAATACACCCAGAACAATTGGAGGACCATATGCAGTGTTTTAACGAAATTCTTGTTCAGATCATCAAGATGAATTATTTAATTGGGACATGTGTCTAATTGTTGTCCAAAATAATACTGCTCAATTACTGGAACTTATAATACTATCATTTGTACAGTGCGATCATTTACAAAATTACTGGCTGGCACTGTACTACATACTGTACAATGAGATTTGTGTGTTAGTCCAGGGGGTAGGTTTTTGTTCTATAGAACAATCTCTCTGTTTTCTCAGATCTTTTTCTATATATAAATACAAGAGTAAAACACTAATCAATCCCCTCCCCCTTCATAAGATGAATGTTTTATGGAGGATTCCATAGAATTGTAAAGGTATCGTGTTTCAAGTCTGGAATATGCAGAGGTCCATTCATACAATAGACTGGAAGCAGTGAGCCTAGGGGCTGTTTCAGTGCGATGTCAGGCGATTAACAAAAGACAGCCCTGGGCTGCCTGTATGTACCCACCACTCACTTCATTGTGGCAAGTTCCAGATCTTGGGAAATGGGAAGTTTTTGTAGATTTGTTAGAAAACCAAAGCTGGAGAAAAAGAGTATGGGGAAACAAACCTTGCAGAATTTTACTTGCAGCATTTTAAAAGGAGTCAAGCTGCAGAGGGTCTGGTCTATTGACTGAAAATTCAATTTCTATTAGTGTGTGAAGAGTTTCCGAGACTTTGTCGCGCAAATTAAATTGAGGCAATACAGCTCTCGCTGAGTGGTGTAGTATTTCATCCTCTACAGTCAGTGCCTGTACTGTCAGTGGCACCGCAGCATTCTTCAACCCTGTTTTCGAGCACAGCATCTCTTTGTTGCGCATTAAATTCCTAGTCTTTTTCACAGGACTCAGCAATGCACCATTAACAGTACAGGCTGAGGTTTACTGTGTGTGCAAATCCTGTTCCTTTGATGCAAAGGAAGCTGTGTGTTTAAAGGGTTAAACCATTTGGAAGAACTCAAAAGCTTAGTAACTTTGACTGCAACCTGAGGCACTTCTTAATAAGGTCTGCGACTTCAATTGTTACCAGGTTTCTGGCCAGTGTGTAAATCTGCCCTTTTTTCATGAATGACAATTATATATATATTACATTCTATCTGTTTTCCTGAAGCCATTCATAAAAATCAGAGCCTGGTCAGGAGCTTATTTCTTTTGGTGCTGGAAATAAGCAATGACCCCCCCACACACACCAGCCACCCTTTTTGTCTTTGCAGCAAGGCCATCGTTGGTCCATTTGTAAAGATTATTGGAGGACTGAGTGCTTTTTAGAAAGGCAGCTGGTAAAATTACTCTCGACACATACTAGGCTCCGAGCCAAAGCTGGCCTTGATTCAGACATTTTCTTTCCCCTCATTGAACTGTCAGGACCTAATTCGGGAGGGGGGAGGGAATTGGCAAGCTGGCAGCTCTTTCAGTAGATTTCTCTTAGCTGCAGCATGCAGAAGTCAAATGAATTCAGACTGCACGACCTCAATGTATTTCCCTCCGTTGAACAGCTCCACTCGTTCGCAGGAGTTCAGGGGTAGGTATGCAGCTGCAGGATAATGAATACAATTGTTAAAACTTGTGGGGGGTTGGAGAAGGAAGGCTTTCTATTTGTTGAAGAAAAAGAGTCATTTTATACTGTACAGTGTTCTGCTTGAGATGGTTATATGGTAACAATTAAAGATTAAGTGAAGAATACCACAAGTGCTCAATATGGAATCTAACGCCAGTTTGTCTTTCCTTTTTTTTTCAGCCGCAGGAAGCGGTCCCGAAGAAGGCAGCTCAGGTACTGTGGACTTTCTACTGTAACATAGAAGCACTTTAGAGTAATGGTTGATATGGAAAGATATCTGGGTTAGGGAGGCGGAGAGCCTGGAATGCATTCAAAGTTGAAGTTAATAACAAGGACATGAGCTCATGTGGGTTTCCTAATCTTAGCTGTCTGAGGAAATAGTGATAAATTATATAAACATGGGGACTACATGGAAGTTCATGGAGGATAATGTAAATCTTACACTACATTCTGAGGAATCTCTTCCTTTTCCATCTGTTTCCTTCACTGTATCCTAACAGATGTCTTTACCATGTGATAGTCTGGATCACTTTAAAACCTTCTGATCTTGTAGATCTCTGGGGCTTCCAGAGGTTACCTACACGCAAGCCTTTTTACTTCAGCTAATCTTTTCTTACAAGGAAGTCTGAGAAATGAGAGTGGAAAGAGAGAACTTGAGGCATGGTTAGAAAGGCAATGAGGCTCCCATTCTAAGTGTAGTAACCCATAGTGTTGGTCTGGAAAGCAGAAAAGGCTCCTTACTGTCGCAAACAGTGGCATTCTACTGGTGGATTCATTAATAACAGCTCTTGAGGCATTCTCTAATCAACGACCGTTTTATGTGATGATGCATAACACATTTTGTGAGGCATTGTTTCAATGTGAAGTTTGAGATCTGATCCTCATTCAGAAATATCCCCAGTGCTTTCTTTGCCTGAGAAACATTTTTTTATGAGGGTTCTTGCATAAACTATTTTTTCAACAAATAGACTAACTTGAAGATAAACCTTTTTTTTCAATTTTAATGTAAATGGAGAAAGTGTTTAACTTCACTATTCCTTGAAAGTTACACAGTTTCACATACAGTATAGGGGACGTGTGGAATTAAACATCAGAGACCAAGGGAGCAAACTATTGTGCCAGCAGACTACTGAATCAAGTCCAAAACTGTATTGAGCCAATGTATGTAATAATTATTCTTGCCTTTGACATGGCGCCTTAGCACATCAAAACGTCTCAAAGACCTTGAGCTTTTCTGTGTATTTGTAGGCAAATGTCGATTTGCACAAGCAAAGTTTCACAAACGACCTTGAAGTGAATGACCATGTATTTTCTCTCTCTGAGATTGTTGGCTAGGACATCAAAAACAAATCTCTTCTCTTTTGACTATGCCATGGGGTCTTTAGTATTTATCTGAACAGACAAACTTGGTTTCACCTCACATCTGAAGGGTGGTACCTAATACATGTGCACGCATGCAAATCTTGCTTGGAGCAGAACAGGAAAGTAACTTGGGACCTTCTTGATCTGAATCAAGCGCTTCAGGACCCTGTCCCACATGAAAGTTGTTGAAGTTGTTGTTGAGTAGCTCAGTTCTGCATCTCACATTACGCATTTACCCACTGACCCATAAAACCTGGAAAAGGCTCAAACGCCAACCCCACTCAGGACTATCCATTCATCCATGGAGCTACCAGCGTAACCTTTATGAATCTTGTGTTAGAAATACTAATGTATAAATGAGAATGAATATTGAAAATAAGAAGTTTGCACTGCTATGATAGAAAGTTGTTAGAACCTGAGAGTTGGAGGTGGAATGTTTTAAAATGGGACTGCAGAGCAGCACTTGGGGGAGGTTTGACTTCAGATAGTGTCAGCGTTGCTTCGAAGAGTATGTGAAATATTACACTGTTAAGTACTTTGATGAATGGATTGCTTGTGCACCAAAGTCTTGTCATCCTTTAATTGGCTTTGGCCAGAAATCAAAAGTACTATAAAACCTTGAACATATCAAAACATAAAGATAACACTAAAACCTCAAAAGATCTGAGCTGTGCTACCAAACCTTTGTATGAGTTATTGAAGCATTTCTGCATCAATTGGGTTCTTTTTAAGATCTATTCAAAGTAATGCAGGGACTGAAGTTGCAGTCTTGCTTTTGCCATGATCTGCTTTTTATTAGCTTGCTGATTTTCATTTTAGAAACATAAGATGGCAGAAGACCTGAGGCCTGTTATCTAATCTTTATTTTGTCCCATAAGTTTGAAGATCTAGTTTTACAATGTGTTTTTGTCTTTCACTCACATTTTTAAAAAATTCTTATCCTGATAATTGTAACTTAAATTTGAATAAATACACTGGCCCACAAAGGAATGAGGTAATATCCAACAATATTGTTTGTTTATTGGGATAATCTTAAATTTTATGTCTATGTAATTGATACTGATTTTGTGGATCTTGTAGAATGATGCAACACATTTTATGAACTTAGTGTAGAGCACATTTAATCTTCACTTACGTGTGTAACTTTAGATGCACCAAAACACTGCAACGTTCTACCTTGCAGGATCAGAGTGTTACTAGGGTTGGTGCGAATAAATAAAGGGATTTGACTTGGAAACTTAGACTTTGTTTCTGAAACAAATAGGAAAACGCTTGCTCTGGGATTTTTCTGCCCTTAATGAAATCAATAAATTCATGTCTCTTTTACTATGCAGCTCAGCTTTCTTCTCCGTGGAAAAAGCGAATGGGATCCTAGGTTTTATAAATAGGTTCATAGAATATACAAAACCAAAAATGTGTGCTATTTGTATAAATCTTTAGTTAAATCAGTTATTGTGTCCAGGTTTGGTCACCCCACTTTAGGAAGGTTCATAGCATTATGGGAGAGGTGGGAGAGAGAGAGAGAAGAGAATTAGTTGCCAGGACACATCACTGAGGTATGAAAGTATAAGGAAGTCTGCATTAACCTCCATGGATACGTTGAGTTAATCCAAAGTGTAATTGTGCCATTTCAGCACCTATGGAATCAGGATGTTTTGAAGATATTCATTAGACCTAAAAAAAATCCTCATTTAATTTCTCATCTCTGATTACTCTAGAAATCCATTTACTGTGCATATTGCACAATTCCATTATCCTGTGTGTGTGTGTGTGAAATAAATTCCACCTGACAGTTTTTTTTTTTACTTTCAAACAAACTCACATTTTCCTCTTTTCCAAAGAAAGCAACCCAACTTCTTTACCTTTTCTCATACTTTCTATTCCTAGAACCCAGTGACATTTTGGTTGTGCAACTCTGTAGCCTCGGGAACACAACAATAAATATCTTTTCTACGACCAAATCAACACACAGTATTCCTGATGGGATGTGACCAATACCTTATTATGGAAAACTCTTGATTTTTATACTCTGTCTTTCTACTAATTTATTTTTCCTGTCAAGTGTAATATTTTGTTACATTTATTTACAACAAATCCTAGATCACTTCACTGATCTTCGTGTTCTTCTATGGATCCCCCCAAATAATAATAATAATTACCCACTCAATCCACAACTGTTTGTGGGACACTGTTATACGTATTTGGCTGCCACATTCCGCCGACAAAATATACAGTCAATTCACTTCACAGTATATTCTGTGAATCGTTTTGAGACGTTTCGAAGATGTGATAAGTCGCTATATCAAATGCAAGGATTATTATTATTACCTGTAGTTACTCATTCCTTGCCCCCAAACTAGCTTAGTTATTTTACTCTTGAAACTTTCACTACATAGACCTCCAAGACTCCAAATCTCTTTGAATCTGATTGGGTTCTTCCTTGTTATGCATTACTCCCTTAAATACAGGAGCGCTTTGATGTTGGATGGACTGCTCACTGATAGATTTTGAACCAAGGTCATGCCTGCCGATTCTGGTCATTCAGGTTGATATTCAAGATCTCATTGTACCATTTCAAAGAAACAAATTCTTCCTCAGCACTGACCAATAGTCCATCCTCATTTAAAATTTCCCAAACTAAGGTCGAGATTTTGTGAAACAGTTGCTGGAGTATTTTGCCTTCATAAGTCGCTACATTACAAAGTAATGAGGTCTATAATGTGTCCATTGTCAACGTTTAACAATCTATTTTTGCATGTTTGATTGGACATTCTATGAGCACTTGACAAAGATTTAATGTTAGTGATAGCTTGCAATAAAGCCCATTGGGTGAGTTAAATGCAAATAAAGGTATTTTATTCATTACATCAGTATTAATGCTTCAGTCACTTTTGAAAGTCATAATCATGAAAGGGGGAATTCAGTGCCTTTGTACAGAGCAAAATTATACTCAATCATACGGAGAAATGTATTTCCATAAATAATAATCTTAAAATAACTGGTCTACAAAAATATTTTTAAATACTTCAAACTTTGATTTTGAAAATTCTTGAATGTTTATAGCTTTAGCATGCAGACTGTGTAACTGATCCTGAACCATTGCTCCCAATTAATTATTTACTGATCTTTCATGAATTGTCTCAGTTTTATCTCCCAGGATCACCAGAGAACGTTGATGACTTATTTTCATTGCAATGAAATTTTCCAGCAGTTTTGAATCTCACCATCATTTCATCCCGTTTTAATAAATAATAAATAAAATAATCATTATATTTGATATAGTACCTTCCATGTCAGGAGAATGTCTAAAAGCATTATACAGGATATACTGTAAAATGTAGTGACTATGTATTTAACTAGATAAAAATGTGGTAGTGGGGGGGAAGGGGGGAATATATAGTCAAGTGAGAAAACAGAATAAAATAACATTGAGTATATCTCAAAGAGTTTTACAGGATTTTGTAGGCAATCAACCAATACGTAACAACTGAAGGTACTTCAGCCAATGTAGTAATTTCAACTGTGTGTTCTTTCTGCTCCCTCACATCATCAGTTTAGTAACTCTTGCCCAGTTCCCCGACTGAGGTCGTAAGAATTTACTATCAGAAAAAAATTGATTTTCTCTGCCCCAGCAAAAAAAAATCTAAATTCTGTTGAAATGAATCAATCTATCCTTGTATCTCGAATTGTCTTATCTGCATACCCAACATTTCCAGAAGTAGGTCAGCGATGTGCTGTCAGATGCAGGGAAACTCTGGCTGATTTTTGTTTATATTGGCCTGGTGTACTAAAGATACTTGTGGCAACCTGAGTGCTGCCCCAGTTGAGATTAGCTAATTTAGAACAGATTAGGGTTTGAACCTTCAACCATCTGATTTGAACAGTCCAGTCCTAACGTTGCTTTTTATTACCTTGGAGGCCATTAGGAGAATTGAGCCGTAATATTGTGTTCATACCAAATTGATATTCTTTGTATCTGTCTAACTGATTCTGGTTTCAGTGATGAATGTCCAACTAAATATCGCATTAATAACCTTTTAGCATTGCCTACTCTGTAAAAAGTAAAATTTGCAAACCTTCGTATATGGAGCATAAAACAACATAAACCCACTCATGCCTAGCAGATACAAAGAATATCAATTTGGTATGAACACAATATTATGGCTCAATTCCACTGTTTTCAAAGGAATTCAGATGACAAGAACTGAATTCAGTCTATAAATATAGCATCCAACTAATCCACTGAAAACAGAATTAGAAAAGGTCAATGTAAAATATTCATTTGGACCTATTTATATCGCCATAAACTACATACATTTAACTGCCATTTCTCTGAGGAATGAAGTGCATAATATTGAAAATTTGCCTCAATATGAGTTCTATTTTGGGATGATCCCTAAAAATAGTTCAAATGGAATAGGATCATTATAATGCCACTATTCAAACAGTTGCCAGCCTGTGCACTGGGGTTTATTGTACCCAGTGTACTCTGGAACCATACTCTCCATTTAAGTGGGTCCACAAATTGTGAATAGTTTTTTCTGAGAAAATGTGTATTTTTAATAACTTAATGAGTTTTTTCCCCACAAGGATTTTGGATCTCGGTAAGAATTTAAATCCTCACCTCTGGTATACTCACCCAGTGTTACTCCCACTGTTCGGAAATAATCATACTCCTGCTTCCCTTCTATGTTTATGATGACAGTATTATTAAGAAAGTTTTTTTTTGCAGCATCTTAAGTCAAAACATCTCAAAGGCTGGCTGAACAGGCAAACACAATGTCTGTTTAACATCTCATCCATAAAATGGCACTTCTTACAATGCACAGCTCCCCCACTGCTGCACTAGAGTGTCAGCCTAGACTATGAGCTCAACATGGGACTTAGACCCATAACTATTCTAAAAGTACTATTGGATTCTTAATAGCTCAGTTGGCAATGCCTTGTCATGTATGTGTCTGAAATGTCCCAGCTTTAATCTTCAATTTGGTACAGAGTTAGCTGATCTCACTCAGGTAGCAGCAGAATGCCTCTGTGGCCCTGATTTGTGCAGTGAAAGTAATGCACTAGGGTTCTACTGCTGATCTCCAGAGACCCTGGTGGGTCAGCTGGATGTCTTGACACATGAAAGAAACCCATGCTTAAGAGTAGCCAAACCGGAATGACAGTTCCACCTATGTATGCCACCTACGTATGGACATTTTTCTGTGGCGGGAATGCAGACACTCTTCCCTGTCTTCCCTGGAGGGATGTAAGATCGCATAGAAGGGATACTTGGGAGGCACGGTGTCACAAGAAGGGATAAAGTAGCAGCCCAAAGCCACTATTTCCCAATTAAATTCCAGGGTCCAAACACTGACTCCTATTACTGATTACTCTGGGTGGTTGTATTTGAACCCTATATTTTAACTCGGCACAATTCAGAATATACAGTGTAATCCATTGTTCAAGCAAATAATGTGACCATTCAGCCATGTAAACCAAGGTGACCACTAGTCTTAAGGGTTTGTGCTCCAACAAATAGGATGTTGTGCACTGTGAAGTAATGTTTAGCAGCTTTACTTGTATTAGATGCCCATATCATTCAGACAAGGATCTGGTGGTGAACTCATCTGGCTCGACAGATGCTGCTTCAGAGAGTGCCATGTGCCGTAGTAACTCGAGCAGTGAACTTGCAAGTTATTTGCTGATCTTAACAACAGAAAATTAAACGATTGCACAGACCTTGGTGACATGTTCTCTTGGCTGCTGGTTTCCTTTTTGCCAATATTTTAGCCATTTGTATATTTGGTGGAGGCTGTTTTTTTGAGCATTGTTGTTTTATTTTAAGTGTAAAATTGAAATTGTACATTTGAAGTATTGAAGACATTTTCAGTAGATGTATTAAGGTCTCTGATGAGGGAATGAAAAGTCTCACTGCTGAGCACGAGCTAACTGATACCATACAGCTCACTCCTCATTCCCTTACCTCTCCACTAGGTTTAGAGGTGGCTGGGCTACAGTTTCACAAGAGGCTACCAACCATATCTTTTATTTAGTGGTCACCTCAGGTACAGGCTAAATTAGGCTAATGTGCAGGTTTCGCCTTACCTCTTGTTATCAGGTAGTGTGCACAGTTACTTGTCACTAATTGAAAGAGATTTCAAGGCATTTTACATACAATATTTTGAGTGAGATAGGCTTTAATAGTTTGTGGATTTTTCAAAAAAATGTAAATAGAATTAGGTTATCAGTTTTCTCTGCATTTCAATGAGCTACTTTGTGTCTTGAATTTAAAATACATTGGTTTATTAGTACTGGGCAAGAAAATTGCATATCTGATAGATAGCTTGATGTCTTTCTATAATGTAAATCTTAATTGAAAAGGCTGGGGCATAGGGCAGCTGACACTTGACTTTGGCTCTCTCGTCCATTTGAAGCTTTGATCAAGCTACATCTTTCTCTGTTGCTTGTCCCCCAGAGAATCTCCCAGGGTCATGGCCTGCTGCCCAGTCAAGAGGCTTTAACCTACTGGCTTAAATATTTGAGGCCCTGAGGTTAGCAGGGGGCCTTCACTTTATGCACTCCGCATTTCCCACATAACCTAAAGCAGACCAAACAAAGGTGGTGTGAAATCCGATGGCTGGATGTGGCTAAAGTAATATGTTGAAACTGTCCTCCATTCATTTAATTTGGTGTGTTTGTTTCCTGGATTTACACTCTTTTTTGGTCTTTGGGATCATGGAAACCTTTGAGACTGCGGATTGCAGAGCAGTGGCCTGTGATTAAAACCTAGTGTTGTTCTCCTTGCTGTTCTTGTGCAGAAGTGTCACACATGGTAGCATTTAGGAGCCCCTTCACAGCTGAAGTGTTTCAAACACTAATGAATGGAAGTTTGGTCATGTAATGCAGACAAGCTTTAAGGCATGCTTTACTGAATGGTGTACTGTAGTGGCCTGGGAAAGGAAGAGAGTTATAAATTGTGTCAGCTAGCAGCCCAGACAAAATGAAGCCATGTGGAAAATCAAATCTATTTAACTATGAAACTGTTTTAAGCCATTTTAAGGTGGTCATCCTTGGCAGTTCTCAGTTTGAGGTAACAAATGTTAAACTGCATAATGCACCCTTTTGCTCTAGCTTGTTAGAAAGTAACTGTAAAATGTTTTCAAAGGACTATTTTGAGGGTATATGATATTAATGGTCATATCAAATACAATTAATGCATTACTCTGAACCATTTATAGTGATATCCCGGTACAGTGATTTTAAGGCTTTTATGTTGCACACAGACATGATAACGACCTCGGTTATAAGAGATTTATTGTGGTTTAACTGGAATTTAATCAATGCTCTCTTTCTCAAATCTGTGGTTAAGGATATCCGGTTTGAGGCCTCATGAAATACTCGGCAATTAAAAAGAAACCACATTGCTTATAGAAACTAGTGGTCATTGGGACAGGAGAGGGTAAAACAATATTATTTGAAGGCGGTGTTTGGAATAATACAATTTGTTTTTGTTTTCCAGGAAGAGGCTGAAGCAACATCCTCACAAGAATCCACAGAGGAAGATTAAGTAACCACAAAGTTTTACTTCTACCTCATTCAGCAGTTGGGTCTTTTGAAGGGAGAAGACACTACCTTGACCACTTTTTTTCTCCAATTGCCATTGGTCTGTCCACTCTTAACCTGGAGGAGAAACCCATCCTCTGAATGACTTTTTGCTATCCACCTTTTTATAATCCCTTCACAGTCCCAGGTTTAGTGAAAGAAAAAAAACTGCTGTAACACAGGGGACACAGATTTATTAATGCAACATTTAATTACTGTCTTCTTTTTCTTAATATACTAATAGTTTATCGAGCTGCTGAGTAAGGGTGAGTGGGTCAACAGTTTTGTTTCATTAAAAATTTCACTGCACTGCACAAAATAATGCAAGGAGGAAAATTGCCTTACGATTTTCGCAGCACATGACATTGCCATTCAGATAGGAAGGATTATAGGTTTAAAAATGAATGGATTTCAACGGACCCCACTCTCCTGACTTAGTATATACCCTGCATAGAACACCAAAGATAAGGGATAGATACTGCTCTTATAGAAACTTTTATACAGTAGTAGACTTTTTTTTAAAACTTGATGTTTTTCCACTTCCTGTAATTTCAGGAAGGTCCTAAGGCTAAATTCTTTAATTTAATTCTGCTGATAAATCAACACCTAAGATTATATTCAGTAACGGAAGGGAAGGATGAAAGATTGACAGACTGACAATTACAGATCTGTAGGAGTGGCAAACAGAGCTCAAGAAATTCAACTTCAGTGCAAGCCACTGAGCCTTTGAAAGGGAACCAATTTTTCCTCTGAACACTCAGCCAGTAAGAACCATATGAAAAGGTGGCTTTACCTCGATCGAACTGGATTGTGGATGGAGTGAGGAAATGTGTTTCTTGATCTAGGAACACATTGGAGTCCAATGTGCACTCATCTAACTGCATGCCTTAATAAGGAGACTAGAAGTATGTCATGCCAACTCACGGAAACTCAGACAAAATCTACTTTGGAGTGGAGTTCCCATGAGTAGTTGTGACCCATGCGTGTTCGCTTCTGGCTATTAAAAAGGAGCCTCCACTCAGATTCCTTATTAAGGGATTCCACTTAGAAATCACTGCATATTAGACCCGTTATCTGTGTGTAACTGATCTTCAAATCATTCCTCCACACAAACAATCCACATGAATACTCAGTCAGACCAGCACTTTTAGATGCAATATTACCCCACTACATAGTTGCAATATTATCCCACTATTCGTAACTACCTCTGATTAACTCAATTAGTTTGACACTTCTCGGGTACATGCTGCTATACACATACAATGCAGAAAACGTTTCAATTTAATGGACAGTTAAACACTGATACCTGGAATTTTTAAAAAATCATTTTGCTTTTACTGTTTAATTATTGAAAGGGGAAACAATAACTGAAAACATTCAGTATCACAGTATAATTGCTGAATTTTTACAAGTTGCTTATTTCCAGTATGTGCAACTAATTTTCTGTTTGTACTTTTAACTTGAATATAATTTTTTTTACTTAATTACTCAATGGTTTTTAAACGATCATTTTTTCTTGTATAACAATGAAATGGAAATGTCTCTTGCTTTTATTCATTTTTATCAACTGTAGTAATGTTTGAAATATTACTGTCCAGGTTTTTGTACCTCAGATGAATTCAAGGCAAATGGACTAATCAATTGACCAAAACCTACCTCCAGACATAAAAAGGAATGAACTTGTTGTGTTACTTTCAACAGTTAGTTTTAAAATGTTATTGAAATTTTAGGACTGCAACTAATCCCTAATCAAAGTATTTTTGTAAAAAAAAGTGGGGAAAAAAACCCTCTGATACAAATGCATTTTAAATTACTTTCTATACAGAAACATTCAAAGGAAACTTGAAGCTTTGTAGGTGGGAAGCAACAAGCTCAGTTTTTGTATAATTCAATCATGAATATGTGTTTAAATTAGTAGATTGTGAGAGAAATACTTGATTAGTATTTTCATGTATTTTACACAAATGTGATTTTTCTTTCTTTTGTAATATGTTTCGACCAGATGTATTTTTAAATGCTTCTTACGTAGAGTTTTATCTCTCTTTCTGCTTGTCAATATTGCTATTTTTAAACACTTATTGGGCCAGGGGGTAGTTTATCAGGAGAACCTGTGACAGCAGGGCTTTTAGTGTTGAGCCAGAGAACAAGCAAAGCCAAATCCTTCTGGCTTTCATAAGAGTTTAAAAAATTCTTTGCGTATTCTCTTAAGGCTCTTTAGACACTAGTGCATATTCTGTCTGTGTGTTGTTGACTGAGGTATTAACTAGTTGAAGTCTCCCCCCATCGATTATGTCCTCCAGGAAAGATGGCCTTACGCTTTTCTTCAATCTTTTTTCAAAGATTGTTTTGTTTTAAATGTCATTCCATGTACTTTGATTTTAAAGTGAACCGTGTAACATTTTACCTCTGTTTTGGTTTAACACATACTAAAGAAGCCCCTGGTTACTTATTGGACATTTAGTTCTGAGAAGACTCGCATGCTGATGTTTATCATGTATTTCTCTGTATGTTGTTGTACAATCAATTACACAATACTACCTCTTGGGGCCTACTGTTACCTCAATTTTCAAGCTGAAAACCTCTTCAATTGTTTATGGCCAGTAGACCAGAGAGAGCATCATAAATTGTTTTATACATAGTTTATTTTTATGGGAGATAAATTTTATATGACTGTTCTCTTCTGACTGGTCACCTCGAAAGGACTGGACATTTAACTTTTCTGCCATGTTATGCTGTGGTTCAAAGGGAGAGTCTGAAAATGTTTAAAGTGCAGTCTGACTTTTTCCTATACCTTAAGTGTCTAACTTTATTGCTTTGCTATTCACTTAGAGTTGCTGTCTATGATTGTACTTGGAAATGCTTGCTTTCTGAGAAGGTTCCTTTCATGGATTATCACTGTCTGTTCAGCACAAAATAAATGTAATAACCTCTGTGATCCCCATGTTGATTCTTAGACTTTTGTCACTTTGAACACTGCAAACAGTGAACACTGCCTCAAAGTCGCTGCCAATAGAGTGGATTCTAACTCACAAAGTTAGCAGTAGAAAAAAGATAAGGCATTTGTCCTAAATCGTCCAAATCCCTTCACCTTGTTCAGCATAGCATTTGCCACTTGCATTGGCAAGGCTCCTTCTACCCCAAAGGAAACTAGGAAGTTAGGCTGCCAACTTCAATTTGTAAAGGAAATGTTTATAGTTGCTTGGATTAAAAAAAGTGACGAGCATGTAGAAGTTTACCTAAAGTGGCAGTCTCGTTAAAATTGAATTCCCCTTCTGTTGCCTTCCCTCATCAACTGAAGGTGCTAACTCACACCTGGTTCTATAACAGGCAATTACTTTTAAGCTGTGGCCAACCTCAGTATTCATTGGTTTATCTACAGAAAAGCATTCATTTTGTAAATCTGGACTAGAATGCCACTTGGCTCAAATTCGGCCTACCGGGACATCTGGCTGGACCAGTTCAAAACCTACCGCTTCGCTCTCGCCTCGGCCAAATTGTCCTTCTACTCCAGGTTAATCCTGGAGGTGAAGGGCAACCCCAGGCTCCTGTTCTCCACCACCAACCGGCTCCTCTGCCCTCCCTGCCCGCCACGCCTCGCAGATTCTTTCCTCCGACTCCCACTGCGAGGAAATGCTGGATTTCCTCGAGTCCAAAATTGAGGGAATCCTGCCACTGACCACCCAGCTTCCACCACCTCCCCACCCCCCCACTCTGACCATTTCCCATCCCTCCTTCCACACCTTGAACTCTGTCACCCCTTCCTCTGTCATCTCCTCCATGAAGCTCACCACCTGCTCCCTGTATCCCATCCCTCTCCTTAAATCCCAGCTCCACCTCTTTGCCCTACTACTCACCGACATCATCAACCTCTCCCTGTCATTTGGCACTGTTTCTACCCCCCTCAAAACAGCCACTATCACCCCCCACCTTGAAGAAACTTCCCTTGACCCATCAAAGCTATCCAGCTATCAGCCAATCTCCAACCTCCCTTTTCTCTCTCCCTTGAGAGAGCCATCGCCTCTCAGCTTCGCTCTTTCCTCTCCTCTCACTCCCTCCATGAGCCCCTTCATTCAGGTTTCCGTGCTGCCCACAAGACCGAGGCTCTCCTGATTGTCTCGCACCAGCTCCTCCACACCTCAGGGGCTGGCAGCATCAGCATCCACAGCTGCACACTCAACCTCACTAAGCCAGTCAGGAACCTGGGTGTTTTGTTTGACCTTGAACTGTCCTTTCTCCCCCACAACCTCGACATGACCGGCACTGCCTACCACCACCTCCGCAACATTGCCAGACTCCGCCATTGCCTCACCCCTCACCCACATCAAGGCTCAATTACGGGAACTCCCTCCTCATCAGCCTTCCCAACTCTTCCCTTCACAAGCTGCAGATCATCCAAAACTCTGCAGCTCGTGTACTCTCACACACCAGACTCTGCGACCCCATCACTCTCACCCTCGCCCGACTCCACTGGCTCCCCATCCCTCAGAGGATCGAATTCAAGATCCTTGTCCTCATTTTCAAGGCCATCCATGGCCTTGGCCCCTCCTACCTCTTTGACCTGCTGACTGCCTACCAACCTGCCCGCTCCAACGTTCAGCAGGTTCCGGTCTGCGCCATGTCTCCACCCGTCCCACCCTATTATCGGTGGCCGAGCTTTCAGCCTCTCTGCCCCCACAATCTGGAAGTCCATCCCACAGTCCCTTTGCCTCGCTTCCTCCCTTGCCTCCTTCAAGGCCGGTCTGAAGACCCTCCTCTTTGATCGTGCCTTCAGTCGCCCTCCCACCTCTCTGCTTTCCCTCACCCCCACCCCATCCCTCCCCCATGCTCGGGTCCGACCGCGGACTGCCCAGCGCCTTGGGACGTCCTCCCGACGTGAAATGCACTCTATAAATGTCATTTTGTTGTTGTTGTTACAGATTCAAGCCTAACACTCAAAGTATTTAAACCCACGTGCCACTTAAATTCTGTTTTTAAAACTGGAACTTTTAAATTATTTTCTCATTCACTTTCCCTCTCTCTCAACACTTCTATTTCATGTTTTCAGAATCACACATTTTAATCTATCGACCAATGAATTTGCCGCAAACCTAAGAAAATTTTTACTAGTTAAATAATGACTGGGATGCCATAACTACACATTAGAATAGGAATACATTTCACACAATGTTGTCCTTTTTTAAAAATAAGTATTTGACCTAGATCACAATGGCATAAACTTAATCCACTATTTTACAATAGAAGTTACAATACATTTGCTTTGATGTTCAGAAATGATTTACAAAACTAACAGTGGATCAAGAGAATTTGCCATCTATCACAGAAATGTGAATGCCGTGTTTGTAAACCAGAATATTTCTCTAAATGTGGAACTCAATAAAATAATATCAAACTAAAAAGAGAACTAGCAAAGATTCTTCAATAATAGGTGCAACAGGCTTGAGGCTCCAAGTATGGAGTTGAGTGTTTTCAAAAACTGATGAGCTGAGATAAATCCTACATTTGAATAGAGAGAACCTTATTTTAAAAAATACTCTGGTAGGGAATCTGAAAGCAGGAAATACAGTCTAACAGTGCTGTGCTGAGAGATTTTGGATCCATTCGCTTGCATCTCTGCCAATGCAACTTTTAATCCCACTTCTCCAATGTATGCAAAAAGTGGCTTATGAAACTTGTCAATCCTTTTTGTAGGAAGCAGCTGCCTCCCCTCTGTTCATTTCCTTCCCCCTTATGGCAATGGAAGATCAGGAACTCCAGGTGCAAACAGCGCACTGCTCTAAGGAGCAACATATCAAATTTGAGCCTTTTGATTTTTCCAAGTTTGCAAAACTCAGCTGTAACCAACCTGTCTCCAGGCCTCAGCCACACTGAAATGGCCAATAGGAAGACTACAAGAGCAAATTGGGGTGAATCTTCCTCTATCCCTGTGGAGAAGCAGTGGCTTTCAGTCAGTACCTTCTTCCAGACGAGTCCTTCAGATCAGTAATTTATAGGGTAAGAAATTATGGCTTGAACCTTTCCCTCCCTATCATGGTTATTCTGACTCACTGCAGAATCCAAGGCTTTTAATTACTATTTTTCTGGTGCTATCATCTGGCACAGCTGTTTGCTAAGGTTATTCTGTATTCCAGGTCATTAAAAATTCTCATCTTCGCAATGCTTACATGAGGAATATAAAGCACAGCAGAGACACAAACGCACAGTAACAGAGGTAATTTCCACAGATCACAGCATAAAACCAGCACTCAATCTCAGTGTGATGCAGTCTCAGCCGTGTTTGCAGCTACATGGCTGGAAGCCAGGTCTGCTTGTGTGTAACCGCAGTCACAGTCAGACATGGTGGCATTCACCAGGACAATGCTATCCCTTAAGCAGATTTTGGGTGTTGTAGGCACTGTGGGAGCCAATGTAAAAGCTCTTACTGTCAACTATGATGCAGACCCAGAAAAGATTTATTGAAGTGGAGGGAAACCTTAACTGTGCATGACCAGAGAATTACTGGAGCTGCAGGCCACAGTGGAATATCTTCTTGCGAGAGAGGGAAAAAAAGAGTAGCCACTGAACTGATTGACCTGGAAAGCAGGAGTAGAAGATACAAGTATCTGGTATCTGGCATAAAAGTAGCAGAGGATCATGATCCTAAGATGCTGATTTAAGAATTTAGACATGTGCAAGAAACACCTTGCATCATTACCTTAGTGACCCAAATTACAACAGAACAATTAACTTCATTTTTTTTCATATTAATTTTTACTTGATAAACACACCAGATTTTTTTCCAAATGCCAATTGTTGCCCCGTTCCCTCTTTTTATCAATTCTGCACAGTTGGCTGCACTCTGTCCTCTAGGTCAGAATTTTATGACTTCAAGCCTCACGTTGGAACCTAGTGACATCCATTAGATGAAAATTTAAACCAAGATCACATGTGCTTGTTTAGATGAATGTTAAAAATCCTAAAATGCTATTTTAAAAGAGAAAGGACATTGTCCTGGTCTACAATCCTCTAGATAAATTGATCTTTCAACCTATGGGGCCTTGATGGCACAAAAGGCAACCTTGCCATTATAAAAACAGTCACTACACTCGATACATTTATCCTTAAAGTGCTTTAAGATGTTTTTCTGTTAGAAGCCTATATCAAATGCAACTTTTTGAAAATGTTTATTCCAGATACCCTGCTATCCATTCCAAAAGAGATGGGCTGAATATTATTTGTGAATAAAGCATCATTATGTACACATCCACAAAAGAATAGAAACAATTCCAGTTGTGATGGTGCTCTGTTTAGAAACCAGCGCTGGGAACAGGAAAGTGCAACCAATTCCACGAATACATACTCTCGGACTGAGCACAGATTAAAACACTGTTAAAACAAGCTGTGTGAGAGAAGGGCTTGGAAGAATACTCATTTGAGGATCAGTTGACCCTGACCTGGTTAAATAAGGCACTTTAGTCCTCATTACATAGATTACACTTTTTTTTTAAAAAATGACATTTTCATTTTTCCAACAATCCCGGGGATGCACCTCATGTTGAGAGACTAGTTCTATTTACAAAGGCCTTTTGTGAGACCAAAAACCAGGTCAGACGGCAGCTGACTTGTGTCTTCCACCAATACAATGGTAGGGGAGCATGATAATAACAACAATAATCTTTACATTTATTATAGTGCCTTTCATGTCTGGTTGACGTCTCAAAGCACTTCACAGGATATACTGTAAAGTGGAGTGGCTGTATTTTGTGAGCGAATATTTTAGTGACACAATAGCCACACTGGGCTTACAACCGCAGTATACTTAGGTTTACATTTTTTTTAAATGAATTTTATTCCTTGCAAAAATAAAGTTAAATCATGCTATTATATATTATAGTGGAAAAAGTTACCAGCATTATAAGCATTAAGATGATTAATCCTTCCCCTCTCTCCCCCACCCCACCACCCACCCACCCCAACATATAGCCTGGATGCAGTTATATTGTACTTGTGCATTAACGTCTCTGATTCATATACATTTCTATCATATATACGCATCAAAACATTAGGTTAGATTTTTTTTGAAATATAATCTTATTCAGTAATCTGAAGACAATTCGCTCAATAGGGTAAATGAAATAGTGTATTATTCCATCCAACAAATCTAAGTGCAACCGTACGCACCTCAGAATTTTCATAATATAACCAGAAAATCTTTCTTTGTCAAATGCTAACTAATACGCCAAGCGATGGATTTGAGGCATTGGCTGCCATCCGTTACCTCACTCAAATGACTGTTGCTCAACAAGTTCTTCAATATTCAATCTGGACAGTGCTTGCCTGCAGGCTTTGGGGAGATCATAGTCAAGTTCAACCCTATCTTTACACAACCACCACACAGATGACAGATCAGCTGACTCAGCATAGACATGCTGAAAACCGAACAAGCGGATTCCTTGGGTCTGTACCACATCAACATCAATTTACATTGATATAGTGGCTTTCATTTGGGAGGATGTCTCAAGGTGCTTCGCACAGTTGTCTGGGGCCCCTAGGTCGGGGGAGGGTTGCAATCAACATTAAAGCATCAAGTTAAAGTTTTCCTTTTGGATGGAAACAAAATAAATAGAAGGGGCAAAAAAAAAGTCTAAAATGTTGGATTTGGAATGCTAACAATAGGAACCTTTGCCAATAATTCCAAGTAACCAGATGTGCTCATGTCAATACTATGTGCATGAATGTTATATCACATTCAGTTTATAAACATTTGTGGATGTTAAGTTTTTCTGTTCAATAAACAGTGCATTGTAAGGCACATACACTTAACTTTATTCGGATAATTTAACATGTTAATTTTATATGTTTATTGTGTAAGGGTGCAAGTTAAAGTTGACAGGCGTTGCCATACCGCAGTGCTAGACATTCTACCTTATTTCATCAACTCTGACTGAATGTCACACAGCTAGTAGCTCAACGCAGATTCCTTACTTTCTGGATCTCGAAATTTAGTTCATTATTTAGTGACTTTTTAAGCATTCTTCCCCTCCATTATTTTAAACATAGGACAATTATTAGAAAAGTTGTAGCTCTATATAATAATCTATATAAGGTGTTAACCTGGCTTCGCTTGGTAGCACTCTCATATCTGTGTCAGAAAGCTGTGAGTTCAAATCCCACATTGGGACTTGGAACTCACAGTCTAAGCTGACACTCCAGTGCAGTGCTGGAGTGTGCTGCCTTGTTGTGGGTGCCATCCTTCAGATGAGATGTTAAACCAAGGTCCTGTCTGCCTATGCAGATGGTTGTTAAAGATCCCATGGCACTATTTGAAAAAAAGGAGTTGTTCTCTTTGTCCTGACCAACAATTTCTAAATTAGTCATTCACTTCTTGGCTGTTCGCAGGATATTGCTGCGCAGAATTTAGCTGCCACGTTCACCTACAAATACAGTCACTACGTTTCACAGTAAAATCCTGTGAATCGTTTTCAGACATCTTAACGCTGAGATAAGGTACTATGTTAAACCATATTAACTCTATTAAATGCAAGGATTATTCTATTATTAATGAAGTAAAACAAAATAAAGATGACAAACAATAATAAATTGGTCATTTTCAATCTACGACTGTTTGTGGGACATTGCTGTGCACAATTGGCTGCCACGTTCGCCCACAAATATACAGTCAATTCACTTTACAGGATGTTCTGTGGAGCGCTTTGGGACGTCCTCCCGATGTAAAAAGCGTTATTATCAAATGCAATTATTATTATTATTATGATAACTTGACAGCGGCAAATGGAATGATGCTCAAAATAATCCCATCATTATTTCCTTTCAAACTTATTATTCTTATCATGCATATAACATGAAACCACAAGGAAAAATCAACAGAAAAACACAAGAGGTTTATTGCCTTAGATTATGTTCAACGTGGCAGTAAGTGATACAGCCACGAGTTGTGCAATTACCAAACATCCTGAGTGTCACCAATGTTTCTGGTTTATATCACTTGATTCAAAATGCATCCAAATGGGTTCAAAATGCATTTTAATAAGATGCAATAAGCACCAGTCTATGGCATGCTTCACCTTTACCACTAGAGCAATTACATTTACATAGCCTTAGAACAGAGACTTTCTATCCTTATGCAAGTTAGATCTTTCTAAAGCATGCTAAACATCTTTGCACTGAATTAAGTTCCATTCAGTTAGACTGTGATATAAATGCTCAAAAGTTAAATAATTCAAAAGACACAGTCAAATGAAGTGACACATTGAGAGCAACAATTCTAATGTCATTCGCATTAGAGATAACCAAAAAGAGTATTTTGTAATCCAAAAGTCTGTGCTGCATACAATTAGATAGAGGTGCACATGATATATGATTCTTTTTTATCAATGTATGACAGGACTTTTCACTGACCTTTGCCAAAACCTCTTCTTCAAATAAACAAATAGACAGACAACACAAATATAATTCAAAATCTACCACAATTATTATCCCCCTCCTTTTGTAAATTTGTAATTTTTATACTCAGATTTACAGTTGAAAGATCCAGCCTTTGCAACAAATCACAACCTGAAATGTGTTCAAAGTAGTTGTTTAAAAAAAAGTAATTCTTTCAGCTGTTCAACTGTACCCGCTTACTTTTCAATACAGGCAGAATCAGTAAATTCCATACACCATCTATGTTCAGAAAATGGTTTCTTCTTTCCAGTGTGCCTGCCAAATAAGATAAGCATATTAAAGGATTGCTTTTCTACCAGGTGCCTTCATATATTAATGGCACTACATTTTTATATTAAAATCAGAGAAAATAGCAACACCATTCTTTGTTACTCACAAAGTCATCCTTTTTCTTACCAACATCTGAGACTTTTGAAGGACACTTTTGCAGCAGTGGTGCCAAAAGGCGCGAGATTTATAAAGTTCTTAACCTTTGAATTCACTACAATTTCTCTTAATTTTCCTTCCCTCCACTGGAAGATTCCATTGGCAAACCTGCTGTACAATGTGAAACTGAGCCACTCAGAGCATCCTAGATTTTATCCCATTCTATGCTTGATTATAATACACCCCTACCTCCCAATTACTACTCATTGCCTGGCCTCACATGAGAAGAATGACCGCTCAATACCAGAGGGTGGAACCATACAAATCATCATCTTTGTTAGAGGAAAACCTGAGGCGATTAAAGATTTTTTCGCTCAATTTTTGGTACACAGAACACTCATGCAGATTTTAAACTAAGAGACTGAGGCCATTGACCGCAAATGAAAGAATATAAAGATTTTGTATCTAACAGGACAACTACAATTTAATGTTCAAGAATTACAGCCTCGTCATTTTTATAATAATAATAATAATCCTTGCATTTGATATAGCGCTTTTCACATCGGGAGGACGTGCCAAAGCGCTTCACAGAACACACTGTAAAGTGAATTGACTGTATATTTGTGGGCGAATGCGGCAGCCAATTGCGCACAGCAATGTCCCACAAACAGTCGTAGATTGAAAATGACCAATTTATTGTTGTTTTTGGTTTTGAAGGGATTATTATTAGGCGTGTGGAGTAAGGAAACTTGCCCAAGGTTTCGCCCTGTGCCTGGAATTGAACTCAGATCTCTCACTTGCAAAGCGAGTGCTCTAACCACTGAGCTACAGGACTCCGAATGCATTAGGAGATTATACATCTGTATAATCTGTATTAATCATAATCTGTATTATTACAGATTATACATATTTTACAAAATTACTTTAGCAGGTTAGAAAACTTCTGGCTGTGTTTGGTTAACAATATAATATGTATGTAAATGAAATAGAATAAACCTTTAAGCCACACTGCAAGAGCCTCTTATGACCAGCAGTTGAACCCATAATGTATATCCGAATGAATGCTTTTAAATGTACTGATTAAAATCAAATCTTACTTTTCTTATACAGTGCATTGACTTAGCTTTAATTGGGCCATGTGAGCACATCCTTTAAACAACCACATCCTTTAAAATACATCTTCATAGATCAAACTACATCGTATCTGACAACATATTTGTTTCTAAAGGAAAGCAGCAAATTACATGTCAGAGACAGTAAGATTATCACTATTAACCATAGAAAACCTCCTAAACTATGAGAACACTGAAAAAAATGTCCTGCAGAAAGGTTTTGATAGAGATGGAAAAGCAGTCCAAATGTGATAAGAACAGAATGCACAGACATGTCAATGGCAGCGCAAATAGAAAACTCACCAGCTGTTGACTGTAGAATCACTTGCCAAATGTTTGACTATATCAGATTGATATCTATTAAACAGCACACCCATAAAACAGAACAGTACTAGTGAATTTTTCATAATATGACATAGAATTTCCCAGTAATCAACTGCAGATTATTTCTCGATAAAGCAGCAATAATAATGTCAACCATATTGATGGTTCCCATCAAACCGATTTTCAAAAGGAACCAAGAGACTGTTCAAAAGACATCACTTGTCAAGTTTGGTGAAAATCTAATTTAAGTTATTGAAGGGACACATCAGACTTGCAAATAGCATTCTGGGAAAGGTCTATTTTTTCTATTTGTGGAAGTAAACTCAGACTTCAGACTTTTCAATAGGGGCAAGTTGTTGTCTAATTTTACAATCGAGTTTATCAAAACTTCCCTATTTTTGATTTTGCCCATTAAAAAAAAACATGCTTCTTGTTGTATCTTTCCCCTGTTTGAGTATGGATTTTCCACTCCTCACCCCCAATCATGTTTATCACCTCTTGATTCATAACTATCAATATTGTGGAGTCCTGTAGCTCAGTGGTTAGAGCACTCGCTTTGCAAGCGAGAGACCTGAGTTCAATTCCAGGCAGAGGGCGAAACCTTGGGCAAGTTTCCTTACTCCACACGCCTAATAATAATCCCTCCAAAAAACCAAAAACAATAATAAATTGGTCATTTTCAATCTACGACTGTTTGTGGGACATTGCTGTGCGCAATTGGCTGCCGCGTTCGCCCACAAATATACAGTCAATTCACTTTACAGTGTGTTCTGTGAAGCGCTTTGGGACGTCCTCCCGACGTGAAAAGCGCTATATCAAATGCAAGGATTATTATTATATTACTAAGTTGGTCTTTGGAGAGAAAATAAGTGCATGTGTGGAACATCTTCAAAATCTTTTTTAAAGCCCCTCAATTCATATGTTTTCAGCTTCATTGTTAGGCAACCACATTGGATATTCAAATTGTGATGACTGACAAATAAAGTACTTTGATTTAAAAATCATAGGAAAGGGGAAAGTCCCATTCACTCCACCATAATTTTCATGAACACAATATCATTTTCACAGAAAAACATATCCCTCTAACCACTAAAGTTAAGAATTAACATCATGAATTAGTCCAGTCCTTCTTGAATGCATCAATTGAGTCAGTTCGTCTGTTTTATTATTTGATGCATCAAGACACTGCAATAATCGGAAGATCATGTATCACTAAATTAAGCACTGAAGTCAACTTTTCTTTCCATCCTTATGGATTAATTTGAGTACTAACCTGTATCATTGTTGATTGGGTCAAAGAACACTGCTGGAGTCTGAACTGTTGAGACAATTATCATTTTGTTTGCTTTCTTTCTCTTCTGGAGGATCATGGCTATTCTAAGAAAAGGAAGAGATATAAAATCTAACAAAAGAACAAAGTCAAGAGACCAGGTTTTGATCATCAATTTATAGTGCTAACAGAATGACAAATGTTAAGAGCTGATGTTTTTTTTCCACACAAGTCATCAAATCTAATTTCACTCAGCTACTTATTATCTGTGCCTTGGTACGTCGTCCTCCCTGCGTGAAAGGCGCTATACAAACGTAATTTGTTGTTGTACCATTTATGTTTTTTCAAAATATCAATAATACGTTATAAAAAGAACTCTAAATAGAAAGACAAGGAAAGTATAAATATAGAGGTAACGGTACAGAGTTCTACAAAAGTAGAAAACACCCTTTTAAAAAAATACATGGAATTATACTTCTGTTTACTTACAGTGTTTGGGACCTCAACTTTACATTTAGATTTTGTGCAGATAAGCATGTGCATTCAAAGTCTCAAATCTTGTTGTCAATGCTAAAACAAGCAGCGAGATTATTTTGATTTGTATGGTTTCATCAAGTTTACTTAACACATAAGCTACTATTGGCACTGATAAATCAACCAATCCAAAACTCAAAACAAATTACTAGTAAGATAATTGTATTGTACATCGAGGGAGCTATTGTGAGGTTGGAAACTTTATTTGGTGATTTCACTAAATGAAAAACAAGAGCTTCAAAATAAAAAAAAGTTTTCAGCCTATGGAACTCTCAGACATTTGATTTGGATGCTCTTAAGCATGGTGATGGGTTTCGGTATGTGTCAAACACCAAACTGACTCTAAAAGAAAATGCTGACTGGATTAGTTGCACAGGATTCATGAGCCAGATAAGCCCGACAATAAATTAGGTTTTAAATTAGATAAATTAGACAATAAATTAGATATTTATTAGATTTATTTCAAAAGTTTTTAAATAATCTCAACGACCCCCAAAATATTTTTTGAACAGTTGTACTTAGAACAAGGTACACATACAAAGCAGAGTATAGAAATAGAAACTGCTTGAACGTCTAAGCTTTTAATATGTATTGTGTTTGACTAAGTAACTAAGTATATTTGAGTTGTATCAGCACGCCCCAGGAATGCTTATGAGCTATATATTATTAGGTAATGGTAGATAATGGAAGCTTCTTGGGAGGAGGATGTATTTCATGACAAATATGTGTAGTTTGTAACAGCAACAATGGCAATATTCTATATCCATTACTGGAATGAAATGACTTATACTGTGCTACATGGAAAGAACACTCACCATATGACTGGATGATGCTTTACTTGTTCCTTCCAGTTTCACTCATACACACTTCTCCAGAAACACAGACGTATGCTGAAGACTATTATTTATTCGAGAAAGCTATAGTGCAGCCCTATTTTAATGTGCTTCTGCTAACTTCCCATGCACTAGCCACCTTTGCGCTAAAATGGCCAACTTCTGGGGCATCAGGTTGCTTGATGTCACACCTCGGTTTTCACATACGTGGTGCTTTGTCCAAGCACTGCATTATAATGGGGCTCCATTGTACTCGGTGAAATAATAATAATATTTGATAAAGTGCCTTTCAGGAGATTGTCTCAAAATGCTTCACAGGATTTATTGCGCAGTTGTTTCTAAGTGAACACAGCAGTCAATATGCCCATAGTAATGTCTCACATTAAGTGAATGACCAATTTTATTTCGGGGATTCCTGTGAGAAATTCCCTTCTCTTTTTGAATAATGTCATGGGATCTTTAACTGGAAAAAGCACCTCTAAGTGCAGTACTAACACTGTTCTACGTGCAGTGTCAGCCTACACTACGTGAAAAACAATTTATCTTTACAGCAGATGTGATCGTCAACAAACCCATGTTCCTTTAGCCGCCAAAATGCAATGATTTTTACACTATGCACTAAGTAGGAACACGGTTGTTAGTCGATTGGTGGATCACTTTTCCAGGGATAATAATTCCTTCCAAAAAAATAATAATAATAAATTGGTCACTTCAATCCACGAATGTTTGTGGGACACTGCTGTGCACAATAGGCTGCCGCTTTTCTCCTACAAAATATACAGTCAATTCAAATTACAGTATATTCTGTGAAGCACTTTGAGACGTCTCGAAGGCTTGATAAGGCACTATGTCAAATGCAAGGATTATTATTTATATTGAAAGAATAGTATAACTCTACACTGAACGTTTCAACTGCATTGTTAGTTTTCCCCTCCAATTCTGAAGGCATGGCCTCCTGCTGGTGTAAAGTTCCAAGTGTGACATTCATCCTCTACTACCATCCAAGTGGCAATTCGTCATGTAACAGACAGTGAGTGCCAGCAGGCAAATTTGACCATGCAGCGCATTACCGGCAAGATCAAATCTGCCTTCAAACGCACACTTTCCAGTAGGGGTCACTATCTGGTTTCCAACATCTTAACCATGGGAACTCATTAAAAGTGCAGCGTTTCTGATACTCTGGCTGAGATCAACTTACTGAAAACAAGCTGGGACTAAATCTAGGATATTTGAGTTCTAGACATCTCATTTTTATACTCACTCGTGGCTTTAACAACCGAACCATCACAGGAACTTATCCTTCTGTTCTTTAGGTCTCATATCTTGCCAGATCCTCCTGATAGCTCAGCTGAGTACATTTATTTTACGAGAGAGTTCTAAGAGTAGATTTGGGAATCTTTTGATATGTTTTATCCTGTGAAATATATTCCAAGTAGGTTTTTAAACTTACTTTTGCTTCTCCATTAAGGTCTAAAGACTCTTCTTCCACATCATTACGATTTTCACTGGGGTCATATGAGTAAATCGGTACCAGTTTGTTGCGTAGCATTTCTAATCTTTGAAGCAAAAACAAAGGCCTCTTAAAATTGATTAATTTTCAACAACCAAGAAATATGAGAAAACAGTCAATAACTGTAACCTATCATTGTTGTACGGTTTTCAGTTAAACTACTTTCTCTTCTCCATGACTATTACATTACTAGAACTTTGTCACCAGCTTTCCCATGCAGCATTCACTGTAGATCACACCTCGCTCCAGCAGTCCAATTAAAAGCTTGCTGCTTATCACATTCCAATGGTGGGTAGATTGTGGCTTTAAATCTTTTTAAACCAACCGATAGCATTCATGTTAAACATGTTTTATCAGTACTAAAGCACAAGATTTTTTAAAATGAAAAATAAGAGAAAAATCTCCAGGAGATTTTTTTTCCCCCATTCAAGCAGGAGGCATTCACCCACAAAATACAGTCACTATGCCTTACAGTATATTCCATGAAGTACTTTGAGACATCCTTGAACCATGAAAGACACTGTAGCAAATGTAAGGATTATTATTATTACTACAAGAGCTTTTCTTGTTTAAAATCTTGTCTATTTGTATAACTGTTTTCTTAGGTCCAGGGTGACTGCAGACTTTTGCTATTTAATAAGATGGGCAACATGCTACTTTGAAGCAGCAAAATCCATCACAGTAACTCTCACAAAGGAGACATTTTATGGGCCAAATAAAATCAAAAGCCTACGAATGACATAATGAAAATTGTGATGATTTATAACTTTATATAAAAAAAACACTATGAGCGACTACTCCCAATGGGCTTACTATGATGACTGGAAAATATCAACATTTAACAAGATTTTGAAGCACATCAAAGCAATCCTTTTTTGTCCTTCCTACAAGCTATGCATCTATCTACACTAACAGCAAACAAACCTCTTCGGGGTATCACATGCACACGACACAAAGTGATAGAGTGCTGCTATATATTTGAAAGCTGTGTATATTTAGAATTATATTAAGGAAAGAAAAGCAAACAACTAAATGTAGCAAATGCATTAAAGTTGATAGAGAGTGTTTTGCCTGTAGCATTTTTTAAATATTCTATGTTATTTTTAAATAAAAAGGTCAGTAATTGATCTCAGCACATCTATGAAGTGGTCAAGTTGATTTTTTTAAAAAAAAGTCTTGACATTTGATTGATTAAGCAACATTTACAGACAATTTTGTTCCAGAAGTCAGTTTTCAAAAGTTGCCCAAAAGGTTCTTCTAAATATTCAGGGCTTTCTCTGCTTCCATTGACCAACACTCGTCTAAAATTGAACCAATTAGATTACATTCTGCTGACCCAACAACACTGACCCCTCAACTTCCATATTACTACAGGGAGACTTTTTCACTCAAAGGGTGGTAGGAATCTGGAATTCTCTCCCCCAAAAGGCTGTGGATGCTGGATCCATCCACACCTTCAAGAGTGAGGTTGATAGATCTTTGGTAGGTCAGTGTATTAAGGGATATGGGGAGAAAGCAGGAAATTGGAATTGAAAGAAGTAGCTGAGGCGCAGATCAGCCATGATCTAATTAAATGGCGGAACAGGCTAGAAGGGTTGAATGGCCTACTCCTGTTCCTATGAGATCTCTACCCTTAATTCTATTGCAGGAAATTTTGCACCATTCATATTCAGTTCTTTGAGTTCTTCCAGCAGGTCAATCTGTCCATCAGGACCTAGAGCCAGACTATGATACATTGCAATTCCTTCTGGACTTCCAATAAAGCTAGGCTGTTTCACTAGATATCACTCATGTAGTAAAAATGTTTCAAGACACTGGTTCTACTTAGCCTCAACCAGTTTACTGTTCATTTTCTAAAATATAACGATTCCACTGGATTTCACTTGTGTAATAGAAAATTTAAATCATTCAAAATGCAATATCCAAGAGACACAATTAGTTATATAATGTAACGACAACCAATGCACCATCGTAAGTTCATATCCTAAGGAGAGCTAATAACTTGTCAGTTAGCTAGAATGTTGCTATCTTGATACATAACAGGTGATGTTCTCATCCATATAAATAATCCCTGCATTTGGACATTGGGAGAACATTGCAGGACATTTCCAAGTGCTTCATGTGATTCATGGTAAAGTGTAATAACAACAACACAATTACATTTGTATAGCGCCTTTCACGTTGGGAAATAACTGTGTCTTTTGTAGTTGAATGTCTACAACAATACTTAAATGCAAAATCCACCAATTTTCACGTGCTAAACAAATGGCCAACTTTCAGGTCATCAGGTCCCCAACACCAATGCTTCAACTATGCGCATTCATGATGGGAAGTAAGTAATATTGGTGGCGACACTATGAGTTGAGTTGTCTGGCTTTCAGTGCGCACATTGGATATTTTGATATTTGCCCAAAAGGTTGAAGCACTGTCATTGGCGACGATGACCTGAAAGTTGGCCATTTGTTTCGCACGTGCAAATTGGCCGGCTTTTGGAAGTAAATAATACATTTGAAACAATGCCTTTCATATCTGGAGGACATCTGAACGCATTCACAAGATTCAAAGTGTAATGACTATTTTTATAAGTGAATGCCTACAACATTACTCACAAACATTAAGCTACCGTTCTGCACGTATTCGCAATGACAACAACTTGCATTTATATAGCGCCCTTCATGCGGGGTAGCGTCCCGGAGCACAATAAATGTGGAAGCACTGACCAGTGCCCTGTAATAGCGCTGGTTGAGATTTAATGGACGCCCCCCACCCCCCACACATTACAACCACACAATATGCGAACCTGCAATACAGTGAATCACATTATAATGAGGTTCTATTACTGTAGTTAAAAAAAGGTGGGATCTGTCATTTAGAATGTGACGTATAATACAAGAAAGGTTATTTTAAAATTATATCTGGTTTTGGTGAGAGTACATCCAGAGTTCTGTATGCCAATTTTGGCCTTCCTATTTCAAAAAATATTCATTTGTTGGAAGGGGTACAACAGAAGGCTACCAGATTAATTTTAGAATTTGAGGGACGAAGTTACAAGGAAAAAATGGCTTTCATGGGACTTTTTTCTCCTGAACAAGAGGTTTTTAAAATTTCAAAAAGGTTTGGAAACATTTCGTTCCCGATACATTTTTCTGCCATGTATACAAAGCACAAAAAGCGATTATAACTTCAAAATAAGCACAGCAAAAGAGAACAGGAAATGTAGTAAATTTTTTTATGTATAAACGGTTGAGAGGCATGTGGAACAGACTACCAGCACAGGTGGCGGATAAAGAAACTACAAAGGGTTTCAAAAAGGAACTAGACAATTTACTGTTAACTAAAAGGATTCAGGGTCATTAGATTTGGAGATATATCTATCGAAGGAATCTTATGGGAAATTGCATGGGTAGCCTAAATGGACTGATGGTCTTCTCCTGCCTAAAATTGATACAATGTTACTTTATATTCCTCATACATTCTATCTCATTACATTTCCTACTGATATATAATTGTATTTCCCTGTGTAATTGTCACAGTATCTGATCAAGAAGAAAATTATCCACTAAATTCTCACCATTTTTCAATTTCTCATTTTGGCATTCTTCATATAAATTCTGCATGTTTATTTTAAGCATCAATGAAAGAACACACACAACACACAAATGTTAAGCGGTGCTACAAATTTAAAACTAGTGAATATTTAGAACTAAATGAAAAATGCTACAACATCCATAAAGACGACTGTTAATTGATCTCAATGGATAGCCTGGAGAAATTTACACAAAGGAACTTCAGTCCCACTTCATTCCTTCTCCCACCAATATATTTCTTTGTTACATAGGCAAAAACATAAAAGAAGACAGGACTGCTTGGATTACATTGCAATCATCATTTCAGAATGAATGAAATCAAAACATAGTTCCTTTTTTTTAAAATCCCTTTCATGTAAGAACAAAGAATATTTGAAGGCAAAAAAAATACAAAGTGTCTGCCCACTCACAATGCTAATAACTTATGTCAACCATTTTTATATTTAAGATTGAAGAATTCAGAGTTTGAAATTATTCCCTTGGGGAAACCCAGTACAAATATTATTTGAGACTCCTAACTAAAACTAAAACTAAATACTATACCACTTTTGCTATAGTGAATATTGAATTGAATACAATTTGATAGTTCTGTTAAAATTGAACCTTTTTTATTATTAACAAAACGTTTTAAGACTTACATACTTTTTAGTTACATCATATTTTCCAAGATTCATACATTGTTCTCATGGTAGTTTTGAGTATTGTCCTGGTGACTATTTTCTGCAACTAGTACAACATATGCACATGTGGTTTGCCTTTGGCCCGCGCTTTTTAAGTGAACATTTTCTTAAGTGAAACATATGTGCTAACAGATACTATGACTTTACAAAGCAAAATGCAGTAAGCATTGCAATATACAGCATATCAAATCATCCATGAAAATGGTGAGTGAATTGTAAGTGCTCCATTGTAACAGTACTTTAAATGGTGCAAAGCAAACCATGGAATGAAGCACCACTTATAACCATTTACATTGCAACACACTTAGCATTATATAACAATGTGCAATTTTTCTCTACTAACTAAAAATAAGTTTGGTTTTCCTGAGCAAAATATGCTTGACGCATATCCTGCACATCTTTCCTACACATGATAAAACTGCATTCCAGATGGCAGCAGTTTGAAAGTATGGCCTCGAAAGATAACAAGGTGACAAGAAAAGTATGAACCATATTAGGTGCTGACAACCCTCTGACTTATGCACCTCACATCTAGTCATAACTTTCACCATTTTCATTTTTCCCTTTACAGGCCAATCCTATTTTTACGCTGTTGTCTTGAGTCCAATGTCTCGGGCCCCTCATAGTCCTATAGCGTAGTGAGAAGACCTGGGTTTGATTCCCGGGCACGGCGAAACCTTCGGCAAGCTTCCTTACTCCACATACTTCAGAGTTTGAAATGATTTCCTTGGGGACACCCAGTACAAATATTATTTGAGACTCCTAACTCAAAGTCCAAATACTATACCACTTTTACTATAGTGAACATTGAGCTGAATATAATTTTGATGGTTCTATTAAAATTGAACCAATTTTTTCTATTATTATCAAAACTTTTTTTAAGACTTACGTACTTTTCAGTTACATCGTAAATTCCTAGCAGTAAGTAGGAACCTGGTTATTAGTCGATTTTCCCCCCTTTGTCTCTTGTCCTCCCCTTGCTACTTTCTCCGCTCCTCAGTACTTTGCGCAAGTGCCCATTCTTGATGTGTGAGCCGAGATATTGAGAGCCAGCGGGTTATTAGAACTGTAGGAATGAGCCTGATCCTAGTCTCTACCTACACACGTTGCCCAACACTCATTCCCTAGAGATAGGCAAGTACTGAGGAGTCAAAAAGGTGGGGGGAAACAATAGACAAAGGGGGGAAATAATAATAATAATAATAATCCTTGCATTTGATATAGCGCTTTTCACGTTGGGAGGACATCCCAAAGCGCTTCACAGAACACACTGTAAAGTGAATTGACTGTATATTTGTGGGCGCACGCGGTAGCCAATTGCACACAGCAATGTCCCACAAACAGTCGTAGATTAAAAATGACCAATTTATTATTGTTTTTTTTTTGGAGGGATTATTATTAGGCGTGTGGAGTAAGAAAACTTGCCCAAGGTTTCGCTCTGCCTGGAATTGAACTCAGGTCTCTCGCTTGCAAAGCGAGTGCTCTAACCACTGAGCTGCAGGACTCCACGAAAATAGCTTCATGAATTTCTTAAAGAACACAGGCTGAAGCGCATTGCAACAACATTAGATTTCACGTATTTCTTATCTGTCTTTCAACATGTCACTACCTGGCAACTCATCACAGCAATACATTAGCACTAAATGTTTGATGTTTGAAGATTCATTGCTTTACATCAATTGCTATCAAATGCAACGTTCAGCACAGATTATATGCTATGCTATCTAATTCTATGTTAACTGTAGTACTTTGTCATGAAAAATATATAAACATGAGGTAAATTTCACAGGGATCAATTGGTTTGTTTATTACATCCAGTTTATTTCAGGTAATTCTTTTTGGTTGCTTTCAATGCTTGCTTGAATTAGTGCAAACTTCAAAAGTGATATCCCAGTTAGCCCAGAGTTTCCAGAGGTCACACAACAGAATCCCACCCATAGTCAATAAATCTAAATATCTTAGCCTTAACTCACCAAGAAGTACCCAAAATTACTTTTAACCTAATACTGACAAAACCATATGAAGTAATTTTTGTCCTCAAAAGCAGACAGTCTTGTGGCACTGTTAGCAATAGTCAGAAATACCCTGCCACACAGGTACCTTATCAACTGAAGCACAACAGGAAGGTGGGGGAGGGGGGAAGATTGAAAAGTTAAGGAACAAGCAACTAGCATTTTTCCAAATGGCCAATCAATTTTAGTTTCATAAATTCAAAAAACAACCTAATCACTGAAACTCAGAAATTAGGAATTTTTGAACAATCTGGATATATTCAATGTTAACATAACTTTATTTTTCTATTGCACCAACTTGCCTTTGCTTGACTGAAAATAAAAAATAGGCCGTTAGAACACTATATATAGAAGTTAGACTCCTGCAATATCATTGAGTTTATCCGGGTAATACTTAAACCATACAGGAAGGTCTCAGGTCTGCATTGAATTTCTTGATCTCTGCTGGAACATCAATAGGAATGCTACAATTTTCATTGGTTCCTGGACTAGAAAGGGGAAAAATGTTGACCAGCGTTCCTGCTCCTACCTGCAATCAGTTGGAGGTGCATGTACGATTAAGCTCAACTAGGATGAACCCCTCCGATCCCCCTTTTATTTCCCCACATCTCGTGATCCAAAAGCTTGCTGATACTCATTGTTGGAGACTCACAAATAAACAATGGCAAGATACCAAAGGGGTCCAGTGGCTACATAAGCACAAACCAATAGAAGGTTTAGAAGCATACCTTCGAGAATATGAGGGAATATTGGCAAGAGAAAAATATAAAATACATAAATATATAAGATGTGATAATTATTAAACTATTTCACTTTTTTACATATCTATAAACAGTTTTGCTAATAACAGGATGCACCACATCCTAAGTGAAAATCACAGCCAATATCTTCTCCTTAGTGTAATGTAATGACTCATATGTGTCCAAATTGCTGATGAGATCTTTCCTGTTGCATTCATAAGGAAGCCATGTCCACAGAGTTAATATTAGTCAGGAACAATGAAAATATCTCTTTCTAAAAACAGGAGCCTTAATTCTTTTATCTAGATATTGGTGAAAGGAAGCAAATTACTTCCTTAAAATATGCGTGTGTGTGGGGGGGGGGGGGGGAGGGGGCGGAGGAATATGAACCAGCAATAACCTTGTTTGAAATTTCTCATCTGATCATTTTCAATTAATTGTATCTCGTGTTTCTTTGCGAACTTTCTAAACAAAATACTGTTCATACAGTAAAATTAAAAGCTGTCAAAAATATTGAACGGATTTGTGTAAAAAAAGAAACTTGGTCTTTGATGAATCAACTGCACATTTAGCTCAATCACGTCTCATCAGGAAATCGGAGTTCCTCATATCCTGCAGGAAGGAAATGCTGGCAGGAGCTGCTGTCAGCACTGGACTAGGCTCTTGACTCCCTCTACTTCCGACATGTGGTAATCACAGGCTCCTGCACTGCACTGGTCTATTTAAATCCTCTCCCCCCTCCTCTATCTGCCGCCAGAGTTCACAGATCGCAAAGCACTAATGTAAGTAGAAATAAGACCAAAACGAAAGCATTTTCCACGTGTAAAGCTTTGCAGACTTTTACTTAAGATGCTAGTGAGAATATTACAAGATTTGGAGAAGAGAGCAGTAAGATACTAGAAGGAAAAGCTAATAATAATAATCCTTGCATTTTGCTGTAGTGCCTTATCGTGTTGGAACGACATCTCAAAGCACTTCACAGGACTTACTGTGAAGTGGAGTGACTGCATTTGTAGGCAAACGTGGCAGCCAATTTGTGCACAGCAATGTCCCATAACAGCCATGAAATGAATGACCAATTTTTATTTAATAATAATAATTATTTTTATTTGGGGATAGTTGACCAGAACTCCCTTCTCTTTCGAACAGCATTATGGGATCTTTAACATTCACCTGAACAAATAGATGGGATCTTGATTTAATGCCTTATCTAAAGGAAGGCATCTCCATCAATGCAACGAACCCCAAGATCTGCATTGGAGTGTCAGCTTTGAGTTCCAAGTCCCACCATGGGGCTTGAACCCATGACTTTCTGACTCAGAGGCGAGAGCTACCACTGAACCAAGCTGTCAAAAACAAAGATGATGATTTCAAAGAACAGTCAGGTAGTTCCAATTTATTTTTATATTTTGCCGCCTCTTATAAGGGTGTAAACCAGAACAGTGCTGCAGGAAATACCCTCCCCACCTTTAAAATGCCCTTACCTGCGTCTCTTTCGAATGTATATTATCTGCCAAAAGAAAGATATAAAAAGGACAAGTATCAAATAGTGCAATTGAGGATACCGATGAATTAATCATGAAAAAACAAAAAAATGCAAAGAGAATTTAAAAAGTATTACCACAAAAACTGCAATGGCAATGCCAACTATGATTGTGACAGGAATCAGCATAAATCCTATGATCGATCCACGACGGGTACCATCAGGAGGAGTGGTGGCTGTTTGGTTAGGCATAATGTTTCTTTTGTTCTCATGTGATGAAAACAGATGAATTTTCTTTATATTGATGCTCGACTGATCTTACTTATGAAAGTTTTTCTCAAAATCAGGTCCTGTAATCTTTTCATGGTGGGCATCTGTTGCGCCATGGAAAACATCAGCTGATTGTCGCTGAATTGGGAAAAAATTCAAATGGAATCTGAAAAGAACAACATTCCTCCTTATTCCATTCCTTTCATGGTAATGCTATGGACAGTCAGGGCCCTCACGCAGGCTAGAGAAATGAAGAGATAAAATATGGTCAGTGCAAGACTTAAAAGATGTGGGTTTTACAAAATAAACTCATGACGCCAAATTCCAACTATCAAGCAAGGCTATACTCCTTTCAGTCTTTTGAAATTTTAGTAACCAATCACATTCCAAAGATGCATGCTTGCAGTTAACAAGAAAGTAAGACTTTTGCAGCTGTTGCATTGCTTTTGTCTTTGCCCTTGCAGGTATATTTAAAACAGTACGGGTTACTGCTGTTGTACAATTTACTAACAGCTACTAAATAAATCTGTGTGCAACTTTATAGCTTTGAATAATGATGGCAGTATAAACAAAATAGTAATTACTAAAGCTGGGAACAAAACTGCAGGAACTTGAGCAGTTCTTCAATACTTCGCACTCCTTTACCTTCCTCCAATTTTTGCCTTTGAATTCCTCATTTTACTACTCCTCTCCTAACAGTGATCATTAATGTTAAAGCTCCAAACAATCAGCTGTGTCAGCTTCACAGTGCCTTGCCCGAATGGTCAATGCTTGTTCAAGAGATTGAATGCCAGCAAACACCAGGCAGTTATTGTCCTCACTGATGTCCACTTTCTTTGGGGGCGGGGGGCGGCGAGGGAGGGGAGGGAGAAGAAATCACTGGATAATAATCAGAAGCCGGAACCACAGTTACATTTTTCCCTTTGCTATTCCCATTTGAGACCAATTGCCACTGCCAGTTCAGCTTTGTCTGTATGGTTTAAAATCATGCCATATATTTATGTGTTGAGTTATCAGGGAACTACCTCAACACCGTATTTAATTGACAGAAATGCCATCCTTCAGAAGAGTCCGGAGTCCTGTAGCTCAGTGGTTAGAGCACTCGCTTTGCAAGCGAGAGACCTGAGTTCAATTCCAGGCAGGGCGAAACCTTGGGCAAGTTTCCTTACTCCACTCGCCTAATAATAATCCCTCCAAAAAAAAAACAATAATAAAAAAATAAAAAAATTGGTCATTTTCAATCTACGACTGTTTGTGGGACATTGCTGTGCGCAATTGGCTGCCGCGTTCGCCCACAAATATACAGTCAATTCACTTTACAGTATATTCTGTGAAGCGCTTTGGGACATCCTCCCGACGTGAAAAGCACTATATCAAATGCAAGGATTATTATTATTATTATGAAGAGACGTTAAACCGAGATCCCATCTACCTATTCAAGTGGATGTTAAAAAACACATGATACTGTTCAAAAAGAGAAGGGAGTTTCTCCTGGTGTCCTGACTAACCATCCCCCAAATAAAATTGGTCATTTGTTTCATGGCTATTTGTGGGAGATTGCTGTGGGCAAATTGGCTGCTATTTTCGCCTACACTTATAAATTCTGTGAAGTGCTTTGAGGTGTCCTTCCGATATGAAAGGCATTTTATCAAATGCAAGGATTAATACTATTAATTCTTACTTGTAGTAATAAAGCTCAAGAGAATGGTAACTGTGCAGCTTACCGGTAATAAAGCACAGTAGTTGTTCAGATAACGCTACCATACTCATTAAGACTTTTGTTCACAGTGTTGAGAACATATTTACATGAGAAGACAGACAGGCTGGTAAACCATCAATACTGCAGTACTTTAGATTACTGCACAGCTGCCTAACTTTTCAGGCATATCACCAGTTCAAGCAGAGGAGACCTTGCTTATCTCCCCACAAGGTCTTTTTTTAAAAAAGACATGATGCTTATTTTATCAGCCTCAAAAAGGGTGAAGGGCTTAGTTGACCTATCATGGCACAAACTCACTAAACCACTATGTAATCAAATTCAAGGTTGGTTTTTCATCAATGGAATACAATGTAGTATTTGGTTCACCAGATGTATGATATTGGAAGAGGAGAGGAGTGAGGGAATGTAATATAAAAAGCACTCTACAAATATGAAAAATAAAAACACTAAAGAACAATATAAGATCTGATGAGCCCATGATCCCAAAATATGCACTTGAAAAGTTCCATTCAAAACAGTCCTTTCTTTTTAGATATTACAATTGTATTTAAATACCACAATATTTAGACTCAGAACTATCATTGCAAGTGATCACAGATCGGAATGTACAGTGTTTGAGTACAAGAATCTGACGGCCAGTACAAAACATTAATGCTGTACTTTATTGTTGAATCTGTAGGATTGTTGTGGTTTGTGGTTTTGTACCACAAACACTTTCATTAATATGATTTTTTTATGGACTAGAAGATTCTTCAGTGGTGAGGAACCTGGTTTAAGGGATTGCAGTGTACTAGAAATTAATAATAAACTAAGCAATCATTCAACAAAATAAATTAGAAAAGGCCATTCAATTTGCTCAACCATCCGGGTCCCATTTTAGGGATCCAATTTACGTGTTTCAGCTTACTGTTTTATAGGTCAAAAGAGAGGAAAAGCAGCATGAAACAGAACTAAAGGATGCTAGTATGAGTTATATATGTACATAAAATAAAATGGCAAAGTTTTCAAAGAAACTCTTAATAACTGAAAGGTAGTAAATTCCAGGCTTCTGATATATATATATAGATACTGTATATATGCAACCTTAGAGAACATTTATATTGAACAACAGGAGCAGGAATTTGTCCATATTGTCCAGGATGACCCTCCAATGCAGTGCTGCAGGTCTACAGCATTTTTTAGAGGTGCCGTTCTTCAGATGAGATGTTAAACTGAGCTCCTGTGTGCCTGTCTAAAGGCACTATTTGAAAAATGAAGAGAGTTTCTCATGGTGTCGTAGTCAACAATCCTGCAAATAAAATTGGTCGTTCACTTCATGGCTGTTTGTGGGCAGTCTGTGTGTAAATTGTCTGCTAAAGTGTCACCTGCCAAAAAAATACAGTTATTGCACTTCACATTATATCCTGTAAAGCGCTTTGATATATCGTGCAGAGGTGTAAGGTGCTATACCAAATGTAAGGATTATTATTAATATTATTATTTAGCCCCAAATGCTAGCAAAATCTCTACAATCCAGAGGGGAATTTGGTATGAAATGAACTGAAAGATTGAGGACAATGCCATCTATCATGTCTGTTTTTCAGAATCATTGCTGAAACTTGAGGTTTGTTTGCCAAAATCCACCTGTCTGGGTTCTCAAGCTTTCAATCATTGTACATAATGGTGCATGTGAAGAACATGGGAAGGCAAAACATAAATACTGAATAAATATGATAAATCAAATTTGTCCTGAACTCAAAGCAACATCCAAAAAACAGGATGAAATTTTCTCCACATTGCCATCCTTCTGAGGTTACCCAAGCCTATGTTCTTGAATGATGTCCATAATGGATCCATTGATTTGGATGTTACAGCAATTAACAGAAGTGTATAAAAATCCAGTAGCCAACGCAGCCAACAATAGATTAGCTACACCTTAAACTGTGCTGATAAGGGATGAAGAACAGGTACTAATATTTTTATTGTGCTACATAAATAGTGTGATTTATGGATCCATGTAGTGGAACCTGGAGTCCTTGCACTAGCTAGAAGGCTATTCTTCTTTTGTAATAAAAGGGTCACCACGCATTTTTTTCTTGAAAATGAATGTAGATGAAGATGCCATCTACCGCCAAACACTTGAAAAACCAATAGCTCGCTTACTTAGATGCAAGTTCCCAACTTCTGTGCTAGGATTATGCCATCCATAAAAAAGCTTCCTGCAAAATCTGACTTAACGAGTAGGAACATACATCGAAAGGAAATACATCAAGTCTGGTTCTCAGAATTCTCACTGTGGCTCAGCTGTGTTTTATTTTTAGCTGTTACCTGCCGGGATCCCATGATGAAATTAGTGGAATGCTACTCTGTCAGTGACATCATAAGTCAGGGAAAACGTTTTTAAAAAATCATTAAAGGTGAAAAATCTCAAAAGAATTGGCTTAATATTATCCCTACGGACTTGTTGAATTTGATACATTTCAACAACTAACCTCATCTTCATAACACACAAGTTATTCGGGGCTCTCATTTATTCATACCTTGGGGATCGCCTGTCTATTTTGCAACATTCTATTATTACCTCTATCAGCAGAATGCACAAAACTATTTGTGGATGAAAGTTAGGGCACATGGGCCTGGATTTGATTTTCTATTGTTTGTGCACTACATACTCACTTGCAGTTCNAAAAACAGATCTGATTAAATGTATAAAATGAAATGGGGCCCATTCAATATTTCATGATATGTCCAGGATATAAAAATTTGAAGTAATGAACTACAGATCATTTTTCTATAAAACCGCAAGGGCACTGATGGTTCCCATCAAATCCATTTCAATAGGATTGTTCAAACGGCACCATTTTCAACTAAAGCCATTTTCCACTGTGCACACAACAGAGTTGACTTAAGTTGAGAATAAGTTATTTAAGAGTGAAAAGACAGAATTACTGGTTTCTTCAGATGCTTCAAAAATCTATTTAAAGAACTGTTCAAGGAACCTTGACTGAATTCCCTTCCCTAAACCAGGGGAAACTATGGTTTAGTTGCAAAGCTCCAAAAATTGCCCAACACTGTTAGATTAACTAACTCACCATGAAAAGGAAATGTGCTGTTTTGCTCAGTTATAAGAGGCAACTCAGCTATCAGAAAAATATCTATTTTTAGCTCAGCAATAGGAGAGAAAATCCAAATCATGAAATGTGTCATTTTGAATTGGTGTCAGATTGGAAACAAGCCAATCAGTAGACCCAGCTATAGTGCGCTTCTAAGAATATTATTTCAAATCACCGTTCTGGAATGGTGTGAAAAACTAATTGATATTGTTGGAAATGTATGCAACTGTCCCAAGATTATTCCAAGTATAGAAATATGTTCTTGCAATTGAGTACAAGAGACTGTTTGTGAGACACTAATATGCACAAATTGGCTGCCATGTTCACCTACAGAATACACAGACAGTCACTACACCTTATAGTAAATCCTGTCAAAGGTTTTGACCTCCAAATGTGAAATATCAAATGCAAGGATTAGTAGTAGTAGTA